ACAACTTCTATACAACGGAAGGAGACTGCGACCACAAAAAGGCCACCATCTTGGTCTTCATACTTTCAATTGACGAAATAGTTTATATTTTGCATTTATAACTGTATCCATATATTTTTAACGTTATTTAACATATTTTCAAAGCTTCTACATCTTGGATATCATGTTTTAGAGCAGCACCAAGGGATTGAGTTATGCATACGCAAGAAAACCCTATCATAATTGACATAGTATAGAAAAAAATGGCGTTAAGAGAGGATGAACAATATCTTAGGTCGAAATTAGATACCGCAAAATAAAACATAATCCTACATGAAAGGGGAGCAGATGGCAAATGTGCAGAGTAGATAATTATTTGAACGATAGAATGGATGAAAAAAGAAAATATTTATCGATGGAATATGTTGCGATGCTGGTAGATCTAAAAAAATCGCTTGAGTGAAGTAGACAAAGGATAAGAAATACTAGGGCTGGTGATAATGTTCAAATTCAGTAAGCAAGAGTAATAGAGCTAAAAAGAGGAAGTATTCTACCGAGAAGGCTGATAACCTTACATAATATATAAAATTCCCGAGTTCGTCAGTAGGGTAAGGCACTCTAGTGCCCCACAAATCTACCTAAATGACTCACTTTCAGCAACTTGTGAATGGATGCCACTTAAAAAAGCAACAATTGCAGCAATTGCAATTCCAGATCGGTTCATAATGAGTAGGTCTATTCAAAATAGGAAATTAAATGGAAGAAAAAAACATATTGGGTGAATTTGGAATGCATGTATGAGCATTTATGTGGAAAGAGGTAGAGGAAGAAGAAAAGAGAATGAAAAATCTCAGAGACGAATGAAGTCTAGACAGAGGGATAATAAATGACCTTGACCGCAAACTTCTCAGTATGCCTTTTGACATATTAAACTACAAATTACAAAGCATGAGCTTTCCTTAATCTTACTAACTCAAACCTCAGAAAGAGAAAGATTAAATGAACTGCGGATTTATAGCTCAAAGACTAACATCCGCCCTTAGTAAAGACTTTCAGGCCGGAAAAAATCTACATGTAGTTGAATAAGGGCTGAAAATAAATATTAGCCAGATATTTTAAAAAGAATGAGTGCGCAAAAATAAAGTTTAGAGGAAGGCAAATAATTGTAAAGACAAAGAGAGCATTAAAATAGGAATTATTATACACGCTAAATTTAATTAGTTCTAATATTATGTTCACATGCCGAGGCATTCTTGGACGGTTGGTTGACTGTAAAAAGCCGACAGCAGCTTAGATTAAGCGGACTCGTTCATCTTAGAACGAGTCTTGCCAAATACACTAAACGAAATACGAAAGTAAGAACCTAACTTTGATTGAAAAATCGTTTTTATACTGAGAAGAAACAAATTGTTCGTATAGTATTTTACATACATACAAAACATAGAGCGCAAAATTAGGCTTTAGATGCATGATCACAGCCAGATAATTTTTCTTCCTGTAGGGCAGTGATTCCCAAACTGTGCGCCGCGGCGCTCCGGGGAGCCGCGGCCTCTTTACAGGGGCGACGCGAAATATTGTAAAAGC